CACCTAAAAACCCAAAGCACTCTGAGATGGGGCTTTCACAGGAAACTGAAACTTCGTGTTAAGTCAGGCTCTGTCAGATGACATCTGTGGCTGGGTGTGATGGGGTGTCTTTTGTGTGGGAGGGTGTCCGCCTGACATGTGCTGACAGCTCCGTTTGCGGCTGTGACCCTGCCAGCACCACCCTCTCCCCATGTGTGTTTGTGTTTTCTTTCTCCCGTATGCTCCTGTGTGCCCTGCAGTGCTAGGAGGGGGCTGCCGCATGGCCCTGGGGAACAAGCAAGAAAAAGAAAGAGCAAAGTTGGACTCCCCTTAGGATGAAAATATAATGATGCTTTTTCTCTTCCCTACAAGCAGGGCGCACTGGCCGGCTGCAGATGGGCTGGTGGCCTTGAGTGTGTCTTGCTTAACAGAGAGCCGGGGGCCCCCTCCTCATGGGGACACAGGCAGTGTTTCCCCTTCTGTGCACACCCTCTGAGCTGGCAGCTCTGTCCAAGTTCACGGTTGAGTCAGCACTCATCTCAGCAATAGTTCATTGTCATTTTGTACAAGCAACTGTTTGTTTCTTCCTGGGTCTGTGGAAGGCAGCCGTGTTCCCTAAGACTGGCAGTGGTTTTGTGAATCTTGGTGGCAAGGTCGCTGTGGAGGAGAAGCTGGCTTCTTTTTTTTTTTTTTTGAGACAGAGTCTCACTTCATCACCCTTGGTAGAGTGGGTAGAGTGCTGTGGTGTCACAGCTCACAGCAACCTCCAACTCCTGGGCTTAGGCAATTCTCTTGCCTCAGCCTCCCAAGTAGTGGGACTACAGATGTCTGCCACAACGCCAGGCTATTTTTTTGTTGCCGTTTGACTGGGGCCGGGTTTGAACCAGCCACCCTTGGTATATGGGGCCGGCGCCCTATCCACTGAGCCACAGGCACCGTGCGCCTGAGATGCCGACTTCTAGCTGCTAAGTTTTAGGCAGAAAGGGCTTGGGCTGGAGGGATGGTGTGGTCTATGGAATGTCCTTCTGAAGTGCCCGAGACCCCAGTTGGGAGAGGTGATGTGTGCATTGTCTGGGTCTTCCAGTGTGGAGTGGGGATCCTGCCCACAGCCCTGGTGCCCCCCTCGGCCCTGGTTCCTGCCTTCCTGCTGCTGTGCTGCTTTTTCCCTCGGGCAGGTCTCTTCGTCTCCCTGAGTCTCGCTTTTCCTTACTTAAGATCTCCAGGGTTGTGGGAGGGTACCTGAAGTGAAAAATAACAAGGGCAGATGTGGACAGTTGTTAGTAAGAAGTGAGTAGGATGTGAATCTGGGGAAGGGCTGATGCATTTTCTGCTTGCTTACTAGTCTGCACCCAGTGGGTCCCCAGGCAAATGCTAGTCACTCTAGGTCGCAGGGCTCAGTTCTAGCCATTATTTTAGCTAGCTTGTTTACTGATTTTATATTTCCTTAAGAAATATACTTTACAGCTCAGCACCTGTAGCTCAAGTGGCTAAGGCGCCAGCCACCTAAGGTGGCGGGTTTGAATCCAGCCCGAGGCCTGCCAAACAACAATGACGGCTGCAAGCAAAAAAAAATAGCCAGGTGTTGTGGCGGGCGCCTGTGGTCCCAGCTACTTGGGAGACTGAGGCAGGAGACTCGCTTGAGCCCAGGCGTTGGAGGTTGCTGTGAGCTGTGATGTCACGGCACTCTACCCAGGACGATAGCTTGAGGCTCAGTCTCAAAAAAAAAAAAAAAAAAAGAAATATACTTTACCATGCAAATAATGCATGATCACTGTTGAAAAATTCTCCAGCATGAACAAACTAAAAGAAAAAAAAATCCCACAGTATAAAATTACCAATAATTGGGTGGTGCCTGTGGCTCAGTGAATAGGGTGCCGGCCCCATATACCAAGGGTGGTGGGTTCAAACCTGGCCCCGGCCAAACTGCAACAAAAGCCGAGCGTTGTGGCAGGCGCCTGTAGTCCCAGCTACTTGGGAGGCTGAGGCAAAAGAATCGCCTAAGCCCAAGAGCTGGAGGTTGCTGTGAGCTGTGATGGTACAGCACTCTACTGAGAGCAACAAAATGAGACTCTGTCTCTAAAAAGGAAAACAAAAACCACCAATAATCATCCCCCCCCCCAAAAAAAAAATCACTGTAAACATTTTGGTGTATATTCTTCAGGTTAATTTTTCTCTTTATGTGTAGATGTCTTCTTCCTTTTACACACATTTTACCCAAAAGGGGTAACATATAATGTTCTTTTGTTGCTAACAAAACATTCAACAGTGTTTTGTTAGCATCTTTCCTTGTCAATGGATTTAGCCATATATCTTTCTAGTTAATATTAAAGTGAAAAAAAAAATGCTGGTGAGGCGGCTCATGCCTGTAATCCTAGCACTCTGGGAGGCCAAGGTGGGTGGATTGTTTGAGCTCATGAGTTTGAGACCAGCCTGAGCAAAAGTGAGACCCTGTCTCTACTAAAAATAGAAAAACTGAGGTAGGAGGATCACTTGAGCCCAAGAGTTGGAGGTTGAATGCCAGGTACTCTACCCAGGGCGACAGCTTGAGACTCTGTCTCAAAAAAAAAAAAAAAAAAAAAAAAATAAATAAATAAAATAAAGTAGAAAAAAACAGGTTAAATTTTTAAAAACTGATTCAGAATTGTGTTAAATGAAAAATAAAAGACTCCCATCCTACTCTTACACTCAACATGTGACCTGTTTGAAAGAGAACCAATTTTTTTTTTTGAGACAGAGCCTCAAGCTGTCATGTTGGGTAGAGTGCTGTGGTATCACAGCTCACAGCAACCTCCAGTTCTAGGGTTTAAGTGATTCTCTTGCCTCAGCTTCCCAAGTAGCTGGGACTACAAGCACCCACCACAACATGCAGCTGTTTTTTTGTGGTAGTTGTCATTGTTGTTTTTAGCAGGCCTGGGCCAGGATTGAACCTTCCAGCCTCAGTGTATGTGGCCAGCACCCTAACCACTGAGCTACGGGCGCTCAGATCAAGATGGTTTGATTTAATGAATAATATGTCAGTGTCAGCAAAGAAAATACAAGGAGAAAGTTTTCCATTATCCTTCCCATTATAGCCTGGTTACTGTTGTGCTTCTCCAAGGTCTCCCCACCCTGGGGAAATCAATGATCACCCCTTTGTTCCTGCTTGTCCTGGACTGAGCAATCTGCCTCTGGTGCCAACCCTGGGTCTAGGGGATGGTGTTTATGTAGCTCTGCCCCAGCTGGATGGTAGGCCCGGAAACTAGCCCCAGGCTTGACCCTTATTGGCTGTTTGACTTGGGAAAAGTCATTTTCACCTATCTGAGTATCAATATGCTAAAAAATAAAATACAGATAATCCTATCATTAAATGGTGAAAATTAAATACATCTGCATGGTACCATTCAAATTTACATCTTACTATTTTTGTTCTAGTCCCAAAGCTAGATCCTGTGGTAACAATGGGTTTTGTTCAGAGACACATTTACCAGTTGGAGTGAATGTTATTAGAGACTCTACTTCCCAGCCCTCCCAGCCCTACTGGGTGCTCCCTGTGAGGTTAAGCAAGTTGGCAGCCTTCCCTGGACTTCAGTGCCTCTGTTTTCTGTGGCTGTCAAACATGGGTCCAATCCAAGTCACCAGAGAGCAAAGGGCCTTGAATGCAGAGCTATAAAATGTGGGCTTTATCTGGAATGCAATGGGGATATAGAAGAATTCAGGCTAAGGAGTGTGGACATTAGGCAATGGGGAGCCCCATAAAGGCTTAAAACAGAGAAGTGGTGAGGTCAGATCTTATTTTAGTAAGATACAGCCTGGGGAGAGATGTGTAGGCAGCCTGAGGAGGAGGCGGAGGCCAGTTGGCAGGGATATCCAGGGCATGGTGGAGGTGGGGGAGGAAGCTGTTTACAGAGTAGTTCTGAGGAGCTGGCAGGAAGCCCAGCACCTTTGGGGGCTTCCCAATTCAATGGAAAGAGGAAGTGATTCCTCTCCGAGAAGGCAGCGGATTTCTTCACCCAGTCCTGCCTACCTCTGGCTATGGAGTCTTGGGCAAGTGACTTAACCTGCTCAGGTCTCAGTTTTCTCATCTCTTAACAGGGACGACAAGCCAAGCTGTTGTGAGGATCTAGCAGAAGCAAAGTTGGGCCTGGGCTTGGCACAGCTGGTCCTCAGGAGGTGTAGCTGCTGTTCTTGGGATCACAGCTGTACAAAGGGCAAGATTGATGTTTCCACAGCTTGTGGAAGGAAGCTGCAGAACAGCCAGAGCTCCTACCTCTAGGGGCTTGAGTAGGGACTAAGAGGGATGGATAGTTTTTTTCCCCATTTTAAAAAATTTCAGATTAATAAGAAAAAAAGAAGTTTTTAAGTCATATTAATCCGAATACATTTTCAGATTAATATGACAGCACAAACCATTAGATTATAGTTTACATGTGACAGCTTTTGCAATACTTTGGAGAATGTTCTCCAAATCCATCCAGGTTGTTACAAAGAAGGCAAAATTTCCCTCTTTAAGGATGAATAGTATTCTGTGATTTATAGAGAGCACAGTTTATTAATCCATTCGTGTGTTGAGGGACACTTGGATTGTTTCTACAAGGGATGGGTATCTTAAAGTTGCTCTCGCGTTCAGGGAAATGTATTGTCTACAAAGCCCTTTCACCTCTGTCTTCCTCATTTCCTCCTTCACAACAGCCCTGGGAGGGAGGTAAGCAGATACTGTTGTTATTATCATCCCCATTTTATAGGTGAGGAAACGGATCTCAGAGGAGGAAAGTGACTTGTCTAAGGTTACACAGGGTCAGAAGCCAGATGTCAGAGCTGGGCCATCACGGGGCATTGTTGTGTCCGACTATCACATTTTACACATGTAGGGGCCCAGGCCCTGAGAGAAAGAATCCCTCCCTCCCCCCCATCACCACCTGCAACACTGTGAATTTGTGGCACAGCCAAGGTTAGAGCCCAGGTCTCTGACTTGGAGGCCCAGGCTCTTGATGGCTACCCCACTGCATAGAATAAAAATAACTTTATTTCCATCTGGCTTTCAGGGAAATCGGTTCCTGAAATCAGGTCTCCCACTCCAGGCTTCCCTGATGCTGTGAAGCCAGGAAGGCCTTTGGCAGCTTCTCTGAGAGGCACCGAGAATGGGCAGAGGGAAGAGCAGTCTGTGAGGTCCACCACCTTTCCGGGCCCAGGTATTTTTAACTTAATTTAATTTTTCTACTTAGAGCAAATTTACTTAAAGCAATGAAGATTTATCTATAAGGACATTCATCTCAGCATATAAGCAAAAAATCGGAAACAACATAGATGGTAAAATTAATGACAGTCACACAATGAAGTACTGTTAACAGTGTCATCATGCATATGGAAACGTGCTCACAGGGTAGTGAGTTTTTTTTTTTTGAGACAGAGTCTCAAGCTGTTGCTCTGGGTAGAGTACCATGGTGTCACAGCTCACAGCAACGTCCAACTCTTGGGCTTAAGTGATTCTCTTGCCTCAGCCTCCCAAGCAACTGGAACTACAGGCACCTGCCACATGCCTGGCTATTTTTTGGTTGTAGCTGTCATTGTTGGTTGGCAGGCCCGGGATGGATTCGAACCCTTCAGCTCCAGTGTATGTGGCTGGCGCCCTAGCCACTGAGTATAGGCGTCAAGCCAGGATAGTGAGTTTTAAAGTGGATAAAGCCAGGAAACAAAAGCATAGATACTATCCATTACTATTTTTGTCAAAAGAAAACAACTCAGTAATTGAGACCTTTCCGTGTGTCAGACACTATTCTAAGTACTGTACTTCAAAGAAATGGACTTATTTATTTTTCACTTACCTGCATGAGTGAGGTATTGTCATTTGCCTGTTTTATAGATGGGAAAACAAGCATAGAGGGATGAGACAACCTGGCCAAGGCCATATGTTACTGGGCCCGTGTTCTACCTGTGGTCAGAGACCTGGCCTCTAACCTTGGCTCTGCCACAACCCAGCACAGGCTGGCCTTGCATGTGGGCTCCAGGCGCAGTGCCTGACCACCTCTTCTTGCTCTTGTAGCCCTGGCCCTTGCAGCTGTGCAGTGGGAGTGCTGTATCCCCCACCACTTTCCTCACCTCGGGTCAGTCCCAGGCCTGCTGCTTTGTCCTCAGGCCCCTGAAGCCCAGAGGGAGAGAGTGGTTTGTTTAGGGTCACATGAGTAGGAAGTAGCATCTGAGCTGTGTGATTGGAATGTACACGTCTCTAACCACTGCATTTACTGCTACCCCAAAGCCTTTCTGGCCACCTCAGATTTATCTCCATCTCCTGCCCAGGCAAGGGCTTGGCCAGTTTGCCAAATGACAGAAGGACTCAGCCGGCGGCTGACTTTCCCAAGGGGAGCTGCTTCTCAGCCTGTCTCATTCTCACCCCTTTGCTGCCAGAGCCAAACCTCGCTTCAGTGCTCCTGCAGACCCCTGAGGGGTAGCCGGAGATCCCGAGTCCATGTAATAGTTCACTCAAGCCAGGGCCAGACGGATCTGTATTGGAATCCGGACTTTGCCACTTTCTAGCAGGAGAATTAGCTTCACTGTGGCTTAGTTTCTTTTCTTTTTTCTTTTTTTTTTATAAGACAGAGTCTCAAGGTCTTGCCCTGGGTAGAGTGCCATGGCGCCACAGCTCACAGCAACCTCAAACTCCTGGGCTTAAGCGATTCTCTTGCCTCAGCCTTCCAAGCAGCTGGGACCACAGGCGCCTATCCCAACACCTGGCTATTTTTTTTTGTTGCATTTGTCATCATTGTTTTAGCTGGCCTGGACCAGGCTCGAACCTCCCCACCCTCAGTGCATGTGGCTAGCACCCTGCCGACTAAGCTATAGGTGCTGCCTTTTTTTTTTTTTTGAGACAGAGTCTCACCCTGGTTAGAGTACTATGGTGTCATAGTTCATAGCAACCTCAAATACCTGGGCTTGAGCAATCGTCCTGCCTCAGCCTCCCGAGTAGCTGGGACTACAGGTGCCTACCACAACCCCTGGCTAGTTTTTCTATTTTTATTTTATCTTATTTTTCATTGCAAGGTCTTTAACTTTTATTCCAAATATATAAAAAAATCAATTGGCTATAATCACCAACATAAATTAATGCTGAAGTTTCTATTAGAAGGTTGGCAGAAATGATGATTTCATAGTTTAACAGACTGTTCTAACACAGAACTTCATAGTATTAATGACTATTTTTATTTATTTATTTATTTTTGAGACAGAGTCTCAAGCTATTGACCTAGGTAGAGTGCCGTGGTGTCTCAGCTCACAGCAGCCTCCAACCCTCAGGCTCAAGTGATTCTCTTGCCTCAGTTTTTCTATTTTTAGTAGAGCTGGGGTCTCGCTTTTGCTCAGTCTGGTCTTGAACTTGTGAGCTCAAGCAATCCACCCGCCTCAGCCTCCTAGAGTGCTAGGATTACAGGCATGAGCCACCGTGCCTGGCCAGTTTCTTTATTTCTTAGAATGAGAATACTAATAGAACCTGTTTCATCCTATTGTGATAAGGAGTCATCCACCCTAGTGTTGCCACCATGGAGTGCTCATTCAATATTAGCTGATGATAGGAAAATTCCAGTTACCTTAGAGAAGTTCAACCTGGAAAAGTTAACTCCAGGCCAAGAAGTCAAGATTATTTCCTATAGCTAAAGATTAAAAAAAAAAAAAGGTGCAGCCCTTTGATCAGCAATTAAAGATAAAGGGAAATGGTCCTAAAGCAAATGCGGTAGTGGTTGCTGGCCAAAGGCAAAAATAATAACAAAATAGGGGAAATCTAGGGGATTGCTGGTCAGCACAGAGAAAGGAACAGGCATAGCAGTTTCCTCTGATGTCGCTCATCTAGGGCACTATACAAACAAGCATCACGTGTCTCTGTCAGCCTTTGCACTGTTTGCTTTCTTTCTTTCTTTTTTTTTTTTTTTTGACAGAGCCTCAAGCTGTTGCCCTGGGTAGAATGCTGTAGCATCACAGCTCACAGCAACCTCCAACTCCTAGGCTTAAGTGATTCTTTTGCCTCAGCCTCCCAAGTAGCCGGGACTATAAGCGCTCGCCACAATGCTCAGCTATTTTTTTGTTGCAGTTGTCATTGTTGTTTAGCAGGCCTGGGCCAGGTTTGAACCAATTTTTTTTTTTTTTTTTTGAGACAGAGCCTCAAGTTGTCCCCCTGGGTAGAGTGCTGTGGCATCACAGCTCACAGCAACCTCCAACCCCTGGGCTCAAGCGAGTCTCCTGCCTCTGCCTCCCAAGTAGCTGGGATTATAGGCACCTGCCACAACGCCTAGCTATTTTTTGGTTGCAGCCATCATTGTTGTTTGGCGGGCCCGGGCTGAATTCGAACCCGCCAGCTCAGGTGTATGTGGCTGGTGCCTTAGCTGCTTGAGCCATAGGTGCCGAGCCTGAGCCAATGTTTTAGACTCGGTGTATGTGGCCGGTGCCCTACCCACTGAGCTACCGGTGCTGCCACTGTTTGGTTTCTTAAATGGGCCTTTGGGAGTGCCCAGGCAGGGAGATGATAACTATAGTTGCAGACAGAGACAAGAAGCCAATTATTGGGTGGCGCCTGTGGCTCAGTGGGTAAGGCGCCAGGCCCCATATACTGAGGGTGGTGGGTTTGAACCCGGCCCTGGCCAAACTGCAACAAAAAAATAGCTGGATGTTGTGGTGGGCACCTGTAGTCCCAGCTACTCAGGAGGCTGAGGCAAGAAAATCGCCTGAGCCCAGGAGTTTGAGGTTGCTGTGAGCTGTGATGCTACAGGACTCTACCAAGGGCGACAAAGTGAGACTCTGTTTCTAAAAAAAGAATAAAAGAGGTCGATTATCTATCTTTGCCCAAACTGAAAATAAAAAAGTCATCATATATTTCATCAAATCACCCAAAGCTGCTTTCTCTTAGAAAAACCCTAAGTTTCTTGTGGGCCCCAAAGTTCAAACTGATTATCTTGAAGGGTTTTTGTGGGTGTGGAGAATGCAGAACCCACACCTTGACCCCTGTGTAGTGGGCAGGAAGGAAGTTGGATGAGACATGGAGAAAGAAAAATGTGAGCAGCAGAGCCATGGTCAGATTCTCAAAGCTGGAATTCAGATGACAGGGCTTTGAGTGGCTGAAATAACTGTCGCAAAACCTTAGCTGCAGGAGAGGCCACTGGGCTGTCAATCAGAATCGATTTACATTCTTATTCTGTACAGAGTTTTACTAGCTTGGGTAAAATGGTAAGCACTCCGGAAGTGCCAGAGACTGATCCGTATTTTTGCTCTATAGATGTCATCTCTTTTAGTATGGATAAGAACTGTACAAAGAACAGATTATTATTGCTCCTTTTACATTTGAGGAAGCTCAAAGGAAGGAAGCACAGCTCATCTGAGGTCAAATCATTAGTAATGACTGAGTTAGGAATTGACCCCAGTTCTTTTCTTTTCTTTTTTTTTTCTTTTGAGATAGAGTCTCATTTTGTTGCCCTTGGTAGAGGCCCTCCTGAACTCAAGGGACCCTCCCACCTTGGCCTTCCAGTGTGATAGGATTATAGGTGTGAACTCCGCCCGACCTGGAAATCTTTCTAGAGTGTCTGCTTTCTTAAGCAGAACACACGAAATCTTGTCCTGCAGAGTTCTGTCACTGTACGCATGAGCACAGCTTCACAGCGTATAGCAACCTCAAACTCTTGGGCTTAAGTGATTGCTCTGGGTAGAGTGCTGTGGTGTCATAGCTCACACAAACGCAAACTCCTGGACTCAAGCAGTCCTCCTGCCTCCACCTCCCAAGTACCTGGGACTACAGCCACCTGCCACAACACCCAGCTGTTTTTAGAGACGGGGTCTCACTCTGGCTTAGACTGGTCTTAAACTCATGAGCTCAAGCAATCTACTTGCCTTGGCCTTCCAGAGTGCTAGGATTACAGGTGTGAGCCACAGCGCCCACCCCCTTGATCCCAGTTCTGATAGCAATAAAGAAGATGGAGAAAGAAAAAAAAAAGAAGATAGGGAAGCTATGGGGGCACACCTATTCCCGGCAGCAGGGCAGGATACAGAAAACCCCACATCGGCAAATGATGCTGCATCCACCGTGCTCATGTGTACAGTGACAGAACTCGGCAGGACAAGATTTCATGTGTTCTGCTTAGGAAAGCAGACATTCTAGAAAGATTTCCAGGTCGGCAGTAGGTCACACCTATAATCCTATCACGTTGGAAGGCCAAGGTGAGAGAGTCCCTTGAGATCAGGAGTTTGAAACCAGCCTGAGCAGGAGAGAGACCCCATCTCTACTAAAAATAGAAAAACTAGTCTGGTATTTTGGCAGGTACCTGTAGTCCCAGCTACTCAGGAAGCTGAGGCAGGAGAAATACTTGAGTCCAGGAGTTTGATTTGGAAATGAGGTTTATGTAGAAGCCCCGTATGTCCATCACCCAACAAGTACTGACATGTGGCCCATCTTGCTTCATCTACGGTCCTGACTCATTTCCCTCCCCTTTCTTAGATGATGGTTTTAAAACAGTTTCACATGGTAAATTTCAAACACATCAAAGGAAAGAGCCCAGGGATCCTCTGTGTCCCTATCAGCTAGCTTTAGTGATCAACTCATGGCCAACTTCTGATTACTTTATCCTAAATCCCAGGGAGATGTTTGTATCCTTGATGGCAATAGAATTCCTTGCGTTCTCTCCTGTCTGCCCCTGGGACATACGTTAGGGTTCTTTAAAGATTGTTATTCTGAGTTTCTCCCACCAGAGATAGCCACCCCAGAGCATCAAGAGATTAGATCATGAAGGAAGCAAGGGAAGGCTAAGAAGGGATAGGAGGGCAGGCTAGCAGTTGGTTCCTGTCTGATTTGCCATCCTTGTGGTATCAACCTAAATCCCATTCATTTTCTCCCCCAAACCACAGGATGAAAGAGACCCAGCCACTCCCCTCACTAGTAGCCCTCACATGTTGCAGGGGTAGATGTCAGTGATCCCCCAAACCCAGAGGCCTAGGGAAGCCTCCTGAGCAGCAGCCAGGCCCTTGGCACACCAAGCTCCCAGCAGCTGGAGGTCCACTAGCTCTCATCCTTGTGTCTGCCAGGACTCGAGAAGCTGTAGGGTAGGATCTCAACCTGCCTCAGGCCTGGTGCCCGTTTTGTTTTATCAGCTACCTGCCCGGGTTAATAGTTTAGCAAGGCCAATTCTATCTTAGCCATGGTGCTGCTTCCGGTCTCCTGCAATTGATGTTGTATGGCCAAAGTTCGAGATTAATCACTTTTCCTGATGTCATAAGTCAGAAAGGCCTCAAACAGGTATATTTGTCCAGTAACCCTGGGGTCAAGGCCAGGTCCCTATTTACTTAGCAGCCATCTCTGCCTTGGGGTCCCCTGTGTATTTCCAGTTGATGATTCAGATGCTTCTGGCTTCTGGCCAAGGCCTGCTTCTGTGTGGGCCAGTCACTGTGTCCCACCTCATCCCAGCCTGTGCTGGCTTTAATCCAGCAGACCTCAGAGGGCCTAGTTAGTCTTTAGATTAATCTTCACGTGGTGCCTAGTGTGGAAGTTTCACTCTCTTTAACCTGACATTTACCTGACCCTCAATTACTATTTTTTTTTTTTGAGACAGTCTCACTTTGTCACCCTCTGTAGAGTACTATGGCGTCACAGCTCACAGTAACCTCTAGCTCTTGGGATTAGGTGATTTCTCTTACCTCTGCCTCTCCAGTAGCTGGGACTACAGGCACCTGCCACAATGCCAGCTATTTTTGTTGTTGTTGTTGTTGTTGCACTTTGGCCAGGGCTGGGTTTGAACACACAACTCTTGGTACATGGGACCAGCACCCTACTCACTGAGCCACAGGTGCTGCCCCCCCCCCCCAGCTACTCATAAAGTCAATTCTCTTGTGAATCTTCTTCACTCACTAAGAGATTAAGAGCATGGATTCTGGAGCCACTGGCTGTGTGCCCTTGGAAAAGCTATTTAACCACTCTGTGCCTTATTTCACCATCTGCAAAGAGGAAATGATAATGGTCTCCCAGGATTGTTGTGAGCATTAGATGATTCGGAATACCGCCTGGCATGATGTGTTTGCTGATGAAATGTGCCTAGATATTTGCTTACTGCATGCCTGGGCCCTTTCACTGCCCAGCCTCTGCACAGGCTGATACCACTGTTTCAATCACTCCTACCCCATATCTGCTTGTTGGAAATGTTTCCCCATCTTAGAAGGTCGAATGCTGCTTCCTCTGTGAAGCCTCCTTATCTTCCAGCCTGCTATGGCCTTGCCCACCGCTGACCTTGCTTTCCTATGGATATGTCCTTAGAGGATGGTTATTGTTATCCCTGCCATGGTGGAGGTTTCTGGAAGGCAGGCTCAGTAGCTACTTGACCTCATTGCTCTTTGAGTGGATGGTGGGAGTGTGTAGGAGTTAGAAGGGAAACTAATTTCCACTTGAATTCCAGCCTGCCACTTCCCGGCTGTGTGGTCCTGAGTAGTGACTATAGCTCCAGTGCTTCTGTGTCTCCACTTGTCCAACGGGATGATAAATAGGACCGTAGGGTTGTCACGGGCTTAAATGAGGTCGCAAGGCTTCCCTGAGGAGTGTGTTGGCTGGCACAGGATGGGTGTTGGGAAGTGGTAGCAATACATGTTTGGGGGTGAATGAGAGACTGGCATGGTCTGGGGATGAGATGGAGAGCTCCTCTCCCTCCTCCCCCAGGCCACACCTTGACCCACAGTCCCTCCCTTCCAGGGTCTACTCCAGCCAGAGCCCATGAGCGGGCCTTTCTCCTGCCTCCTTGTGAAGAAGATGCCCCTCATTCCTTAAAAACTGACCTCCCCACTTCATCTGATGCAAAGGTAAATCTTCCCCGCTGCTTCTGTCCCCCAGCTTGTGGCTCCCTCTCAGAAATGCAATTTCCTTATTCCCTGAGGCCAGTTTAGGGCTGAGGAGGAGAAAGGAGACCCATTAAATTACTCTCAGCTTCTAAGACTATATAAATATAGGTGGTCAGCAAAACTGGGGGAGAGGGGAGGGTGCTTAAATGAGTACGTAATTTTTTTTTTTTTTTTTGAGAAAAGTCTCACTCTGTAGCCCTGCCACTGGGTAGAGTGTGGTGACGTCACAGCTCACAGCAATCTCCAACTCTTTTTTTTTTTCTCTCCTTTTGAGACAGAGTCTCATTATGTCACCCTCGGTAGAATGCCATGGCATCATGGCTCACAGCAACCTCAAACTCTTAGGCTTAAGCGATTCTCTTGCCTCAGCCTCCCAAGTAGCTGGGACTACAGGTGCCCACCACAACGCCCAGCTATTTTTTTGTTGTAGCTGTCCAACCTGCCAGCTCTGGTGCGTGTGGCTCATGCCTAGCCCCTGAGCTACAGGCGCTGAGCCACTCTTTTTTTTCTTTTGAGACAGACTCTCATTTTGTCAACCTTGATAAAGTGCCACGGTGTCTTAGTGCACAGCAACCTCAAATTCTTGGGTTCAAGTGATCCTGTTGCCTCAGCCTCCCAAGGAGCTGGGACTACAAGCGTCCACTATGACACCCAGCTATTTTATAGAGACGGGGGTCTCTCTCTTGCTCTGCCTGGTCTCGAACCTGTGAGATCAGGCAATCCATCTGCCTCAGCCTCCCACATGCTGGGACTATAGGCATGAGCCACCCTATATTCATGTGCCTGGCCTGAATACATATTTTTAATGAGCTTTTCCATTATTTGTGCTTAATGAGAGCTGAGCTGATGGTTGACATTCCCTAACCCCAAATATATATTGGTTGAAGTAGCCATTGGCTTATAACCTCCCTCCCCTCAACCTTTTTCAACTGAGTTATGTTGCTTAGGTTGAATAACTCAGCCTGAGTTATCTTGAATTTTGAATGACTTGGGTCCATGGATACATTATGACTTTTGTGGGTTTTAGGCACTTTTGCCTTGATGGGTCCCTTCCTTTTTTTTTTTTTTTTTTGATAAAGAGATTTTCTTTGTTGCTCTCAGTAGAGTGCTGTGGCATCACAGCTCACAGCAGTCTCAAACTCTTCTCCTGAGCTTCAGCAATTCTCTTGCCTCAGCCTCCCAAGTAGCTGGGACTACAGGCGCCTGCCATACGCCCGGCTATTTTTTGTTGCTGTTGTTCATTGTTTTTTAGCTGGCCCAGGCCAGGTTCAAACCCGCCACCCTTGTTGTATGTGGCTGGCTCTGTAACCACTGTGCTACGGGCGCTGAGCTGGTCTCTTCCTTTTTTAAAAACAAAAAACAAACAAGGGTGGGTGCAGTGGCTCACTGCTGTAATCGTAGCCCTCTGGGAGGCTGTGAGGTAAGAGGATAACTCGAGCCCAGAAGTTTGAGGTTGCTATGAGCTAAGCTGAGGCCATGGCACTCTAGCCTGGGCGATAGAGTGAGACCCTGTCTCAAAGAAAACCCTAAATCAAACAAAAAACCAAAATGGTGGGGGGCTTGATAAAGTCTCACCTGTCTGGTACAATGTAGAGTTATATGACACACTTCCTGGGTGAAGGACTCAACTACAACTCAGACTTTGCACTTTATCTTACAAATGCAATTAATGTAATTTAATTGAATGTACTCTTATATTAACCTGAAAAAAAAACCCAAATTATTATTTTATGACTGTATTGTCATGAAGATGAATGTAATCCAAGCTAGGTTGAAAATGAGAACTTTATTTTCTTCTGATTTTAAAAGACTTTAAGTGTTTTCTGGCCCCTAAAGTGCTGTGAGCCTGAGATACTTCATGTCTTGAGAGAAGGTAGCTTTGTATGAGTCTGGTTAATGAAGGAGATTCTTGTGCCTGGCGAGGTGGCTCATGCCTGTAATCCTAGCACTTGGGAGGTTGAGGTGGGTGGATTGCCTGAACTCGGGGGTTCAAGACCAGCCTGAGCCAGAATGAGACCTCATCTCTAAAAACCTGCCAGCTCTGAGCCTCCTGAGTAGCTCGGACTACAGGCACCTGCCACAATGCCCATCTATTTTTTGGTTGTCATAGCTGGGCGTTATGACAGGGGCCTGTAGTCTCAGCTACTTGGGAGGCTGAGGCAAGAGAATCACCTAAACCTAAGACTTGGAGGTTGCTGTGAGCTGTGACACCATGGGACTCTACCAAGGCTGATAAAGTGAGACTCTGTCTCTAAAAAAAAAAAAAAGATGGGTGGTGCCTGTGGCTCAAAGGAGTAGGGTGCTGGCCCCATATGCCGGAGGTGGTGGGTTTAAACCCAGCCCTGGCCAAAAACTGAAAAAAAAAGAAGAAGAAGAAGATTCTCTCTTAAGCAGAGTTTTTTGTTTATAATAATTAACCATTTTCCAAGATGATTTATTAAACTTGGGAAAATAATCATGGTATTATGTTAAGTAAAAACCCCAGAAATCAAAACTATGTGTGGCATATTCTCAATTTTGTTAAATAAATCCCAATATATCTAATTGGCAGGAAATACACTAAATCTTTTTTTTTTTTTT